ACCGAAGATAACTGATTCATCTCGATAATTTCCGAGGAAAATTATCATGATTTTTAAAAACCACGATAAAATTATCACGATTGAGCTTCTAGTTGTGGTATTATGTGGTTTTTTCAAGGGTCATGGGTATATTGTGTTTCGATATGTTTCCTCTTTGCCAGAGATTCTCTTTCCCTCTTTTTGAACAAGAAAATTTCTGCTGCAGTTTGAATTGGTAGTATACTCCATTTCCCTTCGAATTTGTTTTCTTGCGTCCAGCTAAAGCAACACTTTGATCAATGTGGTAATTATTATGAACGTCCAATCTAATGATTTTCACCTATCTTACGAGGGAACGTTCTCAGGTGTCGGATTCCGATTTCCTTCGTTCATATGCCGATCGATAGGTCATATGGAGATATGAAAAAGCCTAAAACGATAGCGGCGCAATTTGCTTCCTTCATAAGTTATACGCGTTTTTCTATTTTCCCAGCGGAAAATCCAAGAAATTGAAAAATTCATAACTCCGTCAAATTTTTAAGTATCCGCTTGAAACTTTTACACAAGGTATTTACCCTAATCTAGTATTTACGCTGAAAGTTTCAGCCTTCAAACATGTTTCATTTCAGAGATATGGAATTTTTCGTGTATCAAGGAATAGCTGTCAGTATTATCTCATCGCTTCGAGAGTTATTTGGGGTTATATTTATTTATGTTCAGCTTTTGAGAACTTTTCTGAATCACTGGCGCTCACTGTAAGAAATCCACATTAAGAATATTCTACGTGTTTAAGAAACCCTTAAGATTTGTTTTCATAACTAAAATCAGCTGATTAGAAAGAAAAGATAAAGTGTATTTGAGGAATAACCACAGACAGCTGTTTTTCTGTCTCTATCCCTTAAAAAAATGAAAAATTCTATATCTCTGAAATGAAACAAGTTAATACCCTCATGGGTACTAACTTGAAGTTTATCGCGATAAATGATATTTTTATTCACCCGTGACCGATGTTTCTACTATTTATCGAAAGGAAAAATTCACCTCGATAAATCATAGCATGATATATTTATCGACAGGTATCGCGATAAAAGAGATTTCTGCGATGAAAAAGTTCTTTATCGCGATGAATTTTTCCTTTAGATAAATACTAGTAAAATCGGTGACGGGTGGATAAAAATATCATTTATCGCGATAAATTTATCGAAAATGCCCTCATGGGCACTTCCGCAGGACATTCTTGATAAGTTATCTGTTTTGAGGAAAGTGAGGAATAGATATTATCGGGGGTATAGGTATGAGGAAGATAGGATCAAATTAAGGTGTGGTTCGAGAAAAATTAAGAGTGAAATTCTTAGCTATACGTCCGTTAGATGGACAGAGTTTCTTACTTCAATTCAGGAATCTCACGGCAAAGCTGACTCACCCTTCTGGACATATCTATCCCGTATATACAGACCTAAATCGCTCCCACTCTCGAAGTTAGTAACTAATGGGACAGTTATTAAGGATTGTAGAGAAGTCACGGACGAACTATTTAAATATACCCTGAACAATTTTCAGCGCCGACGGAAAATTACAATGATCTTTTCGAGGTAGAATGTTAAGCTGAGTATAATGAAATTATGACTAGACTAGCTTTGTGCACTAAGTCTGTGACAGGAACGTCTTCAATCGAAATAAATAAATACATTAAAAAACTCAAACCAAAAAAATCGACTGGATTCGACGATATTTCTAATTTTAGGGTTTAGCTACTTCCCCCGGGCTATATTGATTGTCTAGCGAAGTGTTTTAATGACTGGCTAAAAGATTGTCATTTTCCGGAGGTTTGGCAGTTAGCAAAAATTGTTACGCTTAATAAATTAAAAGCAGGCATGCCTTCTTGCGATCAAACGCGTCCAGTCTCGTTGTTGGCTACTCATTCCAAACTGTATGAGAAAGTTATCCATGAAAGGATCAAAAACTGGGCGGAACAAAATCAAATAATTCCCGTAGAACAATCAGGATTTAGGAAAAGCCATCTGCTACAGACTCGAGTTTTGTCAATATATCAGGAAGTGGCGAATAACCTAGCAGCTAATATTCCTACGCTTGCGATATATGTAGATTATAAAAAAGCTTTTGATAGGGTCTGGCACACTGGACTAGTAGTAAAATTATATAGAATGGGCATGCCACTTGAACTTCTGAAGCTAATCGTAAGTTGGTTGTCCGGTAGAAGATCTTTCGTAGTTTTTGGAGGCGTAAGGACGGGAATATTTCGTATATACATCAGACTACCACAAGGTAGCGGTCTAAGCCCGCTCATTTTTATTATATATCACGCAGATTTAGTTAAATGTGCAGGCGCTTTTTCGTGTCATTTATTTGCCGACGATCTGAACGTCCTTATAGTTCCTCCCGTCATGAAGAATCTATCTACTATGATTGAATTCTTGAGTGAGGAGCGAACTAAAGTATGTAACCGGCTATTAAGCTACTCCAAAAAGTGGAAGCGGCCCATCAATATCTCCAAGACTGTAGCGCAAGTTTTCTATTCACAAGTCCGGAAACCTAATATAATAGTCCTTATGGGTGATAACATAATTGAGATCGTTTCTAGATTTAAATATCTAGGATTTACATGGACAGATAAACTTCCACTAAAGCCCACTGTGGACAAGCAGCACTGTAGAAAGCATACAAAAATCATTTAACAAATTAAGATGGTTAAAAGAATCAAAAACATTGAAACAATTGTACTTAAACTATGCTTTTACGCTTATTCCTTCCTCTTTTTTGCCTGGATTTTTCCGTTCTTACCCCTACTTCCCTCTACACAACAAGAACTCCTCTACCGAAAGTATCGAGTAGGACTCCGGTTAGTTTACCGTTGCCCGTTCGTAACAGCACGTAATCTCTGTGATTTCACTAATGAGCCAGATTTAACTTTCCATGTTAAGAATTATCTAGAAAAAAGGCTATTATCGTCCAAGGATTAGCAAGGACTGGAAGGTAGGAAACTTCTTTCGCATTAAGAGGGTTAAACAAATGATTAGCAATCATGAATCGTTTTTATGTAAATGGTTGATCTTTATAACTCGTTTTTCCGAATAATGAAATAGAAACCCGGTTTTAGAATGATGTTCTTTTTTTTTATTTTTTATTTTTTGTTTTTTGTTTTTTGTTTTTTGTTTTTGCTTTGTTATGGATTTTCCTCTCTCTAGCTGTGTCACCAAACAGGCTACATTTTTCTCATAATACTTCCCTACTGTTTTTAATATTTTTATTGTATTGGCAGTGTAGGATTATCAATATTTTTATGTTTGTTATAATGTATTGGGAATTTTTATATACCTTTTTTTGCAAGTGCCTACGGGCGTCATAATAAAATGCAAAATGCAAAAAAGATCGTTGGCGTTGTTGTTATTGGTAGTTGTGGCTGTAGTCAAATTATTGATTCATAAACAAAAATCAGTGGCGCGGTGTATTAAAATATTTGATAACTTACAAAAAAAAATGTTTCTGTCTAACTCACTAGTAGTGAGTTAGACAGAAACATTTTTTTTTGTTCACATTTGAAATGTGAAGATGAACAGACGTTGAGATAAAAGCAGGATTAAACTACTAGAGATCTTCTTGTCTACATCCTTACCTATTCTATTTAACTTATAAAAAATCAGAAGTTTCTCGATGTATTTACTTTTGTTTTTCTTTTATGCATAAAAGTCAATTTAATCAATTCCTTAACATGATTCAAGCAATAATAAACATTATCAATCGATAATGTAGAAAAGTCTTAACATGCATCGCATATAAAAGTTATTCTTTAAAAGTATTTACGTCTCTCAAGTTGTGTAAAATTTGAAAGTTTTCGTTTGTTTTTTGCAATTGAAAAAAATTAAATAGTTCTTGTATTTGTATCGTATTAACAATACATCTAACAATTCGTTTTAATCTCACAGTTTAAGACCAGAGAAATCAGAGAACAATGATACTGTAATGTTGAATATATTGAGAACGAACGGGGAAAAAAATAAGAACAAAAGTTATGGTGTCTGCATATATCTATATATATTAGATATGTGAGAAACGACGGTGCAAGCTGTGTGATGAGCAGTATAACTCAGGCAACTATCTAGAATATAACTATATGTAGAATAGGTCATTTATCATCTATTGTAAAAAACGAAAAACGAAATTTTTTTATGTATTAATGACGCGAATATTTCTTGCTAGTGAATGAATACAATTGCTGGTTGGAATATGAGATTTCTCTTTTTTTTCTCTTTTTCATCTTCTCACATGAGATGCAGTCAAAAATATTGAACATTAGTGAGTACGTATGAAAGAGAAAAATGCTTTTGTCTACACATTATATTATCAAATACTATATTTGATACGAAAGAAAAAGAAAAAGAAAAAAAGCTGTATAATATTCAATTCAATTGTGTACATCTCGTAATGTTCAATCACACGAATGGTGTATTTCTCACGAAAAAAAATGTCGTAACCAGTCAGCTCAAAACTAATAATAATGATGATTATAATAAACATTCAACAATATAGATATTTACATAGTGAATACTCAATTTTCTGTTATTGCTACTTAGAAAATAAATAAATAAATATAAAAGAACAACCGTCAAGTGATCTTTATGTAAATATTTTATCAATTTTCATTAGACACAAACAATGTTAATCAAATTTATAGCTGATCTATTTCAGTTAAATACCGTTCGGTCGTTGTCACTATTCACTCTATCACTTTCGTCCACATACACTTCAACGTGCTTCGTATTTTCATTGATATTAATTCTCGGTGATTCTAATCTATTGTTATCTGGTCAACAAACTAAAAATCCTTCATTGACTACCGCTTCGTCTCGGACACGTTCATCTTCTAAGATGAGTCTAAATAACGTAACCACCCCAAAACTATCGACAATAACGACAAAAAAGAAACAATTAATACCTCCGCCAATAATAATCGAGGAGCAAACATGCTATAATAAATCATCAGGTACGGCAATTAGTTGTTTACCAGAATTTGTTAATGCAGCATTTCGTCGAAAAATTAAGAGTACAAATACCTGCGGTGAAAGATGGGAAGTTGATCCGACAATTCAGGGAACAGAATATTGTATTCAAACGGGACCACCACAAGGACAATTAGACAATAATCAAAGATATTATTCATCAACAGATAAAAATTGTCAGATATGTGATAGCCGAGATGAAAAACGTGCACATCCACCCGAACTAATGACAGATTTTAATCAACGAGGAAATATAACATGGTGGCAAAGTGATACAATGTTAGAAGGAGTCAATTATCCTAATACAGTTAATTTGACATTAAACTTGGGTAAGACAAGAAACTTTGAGTTAGGATTTCAAAGACATCAAACTACTGTCTCATGTGGTTGATTTGTACTAGAAATGAAAGTATAATCTTATAAGATGTTTTTATTCAATCATCTGTAATCGGATAATAACATGTCTTTCTAGGAAAAACCTATGATGTAACATATATTAAACTGACATTTCAATCTCCAAAACCAGAAAGTTTTATTATCTATAAACGTACATATGAAAATGGACCATGGATACCGTATCAATATTACAGTGCTTCGTGTATGCTCACATTTGGTTTACCGAGAAAAAAATATCCGGACACGGATACAGAAGCTATTTGTTCAGAAGATTTTAGTGATGTGACACCTTTGTACGGTTCTGAGGTAGCCTTTGGAACACTGGATTGGAGACCAGGTGCAACTACATTTGAAATGAGAAGTGATTTACAGGTATATTGCATAATATTTTTAGTTCATGCATTTATCAGTAGTGATAAGAGCTTTTTATTGTGAACTTACAGCAATGGGTCACAGCGTATGAAATTCGCATTCAATTAGTTAGAATGAACACATTTGGGGATGAAATGTTTGGTCAGCCGTATGTGTTGAAAACATACTTTTATGCTATATCCGATTTAGCTGTTGGAGGACGGTATGTTTATCAAACCAAATCCATTTTTATGTAGCAAGGCATTCTTTTAGTTGTCATTGCAATGGGCATGCTAATAAATGTAGTCGAAACACTGATAAAAATACTGGAGTTCATTGTGATTGTGAACATAATACGGTTGGTCGTGATTGTGAGAACTGTCATCCATCTTATAATGATGCGCCATGGCAGCCAGCCGATGTGCATGATGCTCATGCATGCAAATGTAGGCTCTAAATCAACTTTTGTTTAAAAATTGATCTAAATGGTTAAATTTCAGCTTGTGTTTGTAATGGTTTTGCTCAAACATGTAGTTTTAATCTTGATCTATACGAAAGAACTGGTCATGGAAGCGTTTGCATTGATTGTGCTGGTAATAGAGGAGGACCGAATTGTGAAAGCTGTAAACAAGGATATTTTCGATTACCAGACGCAGAAGGAGACTGCTTGCCTTGTTCATGTGATGTTGTTGGTAAGCCATGCAGTAGTTGATAGTTTTAGGCATTAATATCTTATTTAAGAATACTTACAGGATCAGAAACAGTTCAGTGTGCAATCGATGGCCAATGCCGATGTAAACCAGGAGTTGTGGGTGACAAATGTAATCAATGTGCACCGTATCATTACAACTTTGGACCCAATGGTTGCAGGTATGTTGTTAAATGAGATTAAAAGTGCTTTTTGAATATCCACCATACGTTCATTTTTTTGTGTTTTAGTCGATGCACATGTTACGAACCAGGTGCAACTCAACCACTTCAATGTAATCCAAGTTCTGGCCAATGTACTTGTAAACTGTTTGTTGAAGGTCAAAATTGTGATAGGTAAATACAGTGTCCTAATTCATCCGATATTGAAAAGATTTAGCTGAACAGCTGTCAGTTCTTCTATCATACTTTCGCCTTTCCATCTCTTTTAGATGTCGTCCTGGTTACTATAATTTGGATCAAATGAATCTTGATGGTTGCACAAAATGTTTTTGCTATGGACACGCTTCAACATGCCAAAGTGCACCGAATTATTATTTTCAACCCATTCGGTCATCGTTCACAGAAGGTAGATTGAAATATCTTTTGTTCTATAACGGCAGTAATTTTATTTCAAACATCTATGCAAAACAGGAAGTGATGGATGGCGTGCCTCTGATAAATCTGGCGTTGAAGTTCCAGTGCAAAGCGACGGAAGTAACTATATTTATGTTCGAGCATTACCTTCTCAAGATATTACATTCGAAGCTCCCTGTAAGTTGCAGTGAAAAATAGTTCGTGTTATTACCAAAACGAGAGAACTGTATCATCAATTGTAGCTAAATATCTTGGTGATCGTACATTGTCTTACAATCAACTGTTAACATTTATATTGATTCTTCGTGCTCAACCAACATTAAATCGAATGTATACTCACTATGATGTTTCAATCGAAAGTGGTGATCGTACGAGGGTAGGGGTAGTGATATATGGTGAGTGAATTTAAGCTATCTTTTGGCCTGTTGTCCACTTATCTCTTATCTTACAGGCGGAATACCTCAAACAATACCATCGGAAGAACCATTAACATTTCGTTATCGGTAATTTGAAATTACGTGTCTTATGACACTATTATGATGGTATTGTTGTATTTTTTCAGTCTAAATGAGCAATCTTGGACACCATCATTATCATTTATTGATTTCATGCGTCTATTATCAAACATTACATCAATTAAAATTCATGCTACATTTGGAATTGATCATGCTGTCAGTTTTCTTGGTGAAGTTACACTGGGACACTCACAATTGTCATCTGGATTGTTTTCAGTTTCAAATGTTGAATCGTGTACATGTCCTACAGGTTACTACGGTGAACGATGTGAATATTGCATATCTGGCTATCGTCGTAATCCATCATTTGGCGGTCTGTTTGCTCAGTGTGTACCATGTCAATGTTACAATCATTCGACAATATGTGATATTGAAACTGGAAAATGTCAATGTCAACATCATACCACTGGTGATAATTGTGAACGATGTTTGCCCGGGTTTTACGGCAATCCATATCGTGGAACATCAGAAGATTGTCAACGATGTCCATGTCCAAATGGTGTATCTTGTACACAACTGAATCCACAACACGTAGTATGTTTAAATTGTCCAGCAGGATATACAGGTTAGTTATTTATTAAAAAGTCTTTTGATTAGTGACTAAGACTAATACGATTAAACAGGTGATCGATGCGAATTTTGCGATGATGGATATTTTGGAGATCCTGAAGGATTGATTACGGGTGTTCGACGACCATGTGAACTATGTAGTTGTAATGGAAATATTGATTCAAATATAATTGGAAACTGCAATACGTAAGTAAAATTCTATTGATTCTTTCAAATATATCAACAACGTTGTTTTTTCAATATTAAAGAACATCGGGTCATTGTTTAAAATGTAATCAAAACACATTTGGTGTTTATTGTGAAAAATGTTTGCCAGGATATTGGGGTGATGCATTAGCTACTGTTAAATGTCATCGTAAGTACAAATAACATTCTAATTATTTTTCATCACTATTATAAACTAAATATTATTTATTTAGCGTGTAATTGTCATCCTCGTGGTACAAGAAGAACAAGCGATGTCCAATATTTAACACAATGTAATCTTCAAAATGGTCAGTGTCAATGTAAACCAAATGTTATTGATCGACAATGTGATAAATGTGAGGATGGTTATTGGAATTTAAATTCAGATTCGGGTAAGAGTTCTTAACAACTATTAAACAACTACTATTTATCACAGCATGATGTTTCTTATAAGGTTGTGGACCATGTAAATGTGATCCAATTGGTGCTTATAATATATCATGTTCTGTCAACAGTGGACAATGTTTCTGTAAACCTGGTGTCACCGGACAACACTGTGATCGATGTTTACCTTATCATTATGGTTTCTCACCAGATGGTTGTAAACGTAAGTACATCTTTCGAAATATACTGAATGTTATCTGTCATTTTCCCTATTTTAGCATGTAATTGTGATCAATATGGTTCGTTGGATGTTCAATGTGATAGTATATCGGGTCAGTGTCCATGTAAAGAAAACTTTATGAGTTTACAATGTGATCAGTGTGATGAAAATAAATATCGTGATGGTTATGAATGTCCTGGTAAATAAAATTCAAGAAACTGTTGGTGGTATAAAATAATATTCTTATTCTTTTATTTCAGCTTGTCCACCATGTTATCGTGAAGTACAAAAACGTACTAATTATTATCGATCGGATTTGAATATATTGAAAGATGCTCTGTCAACATTAAATTTATCTCAAACACTTCAATCATTAAAAGAAGATAAACAATTAACATCCGAATTAGATTCACTGGCAAAAAATTTAAATAATTTAAAAATGGATTTACAGAGTAATATTCGCAATAGTTTTGTACTCTAAATTTATCTTTTATTAAAATTTTTTTATTTATTAGAAAATGGTTTAATATCACGAAATATTAGTAATTATGATCAACTAGATGATGAATTAAAAAATAATGCAACAGATTTAGAAAATCGTTATCGAAAATTAGAACGACAATTACCAGAATTAATTGACAAAAATAGTTATATTCGTGACACAATTTTAAAAGCAAATGAAACATTTTTAAAATCAACTACCCATCAATTGAGTATGTATACATCATTATAGTTAAACTACTTATTTTAAATATACAAACATTTTTTGTTTGTTTTTCTAGCTCGTATCAATTCACTATTACTCGGAATTGATCGGGTTGGACGTACAACAGATAGTAAGCATGAAGCAGCAATCAATAAAACACTTGTTATGCAAATAAAAATAAATGATTTAACACAAAGATTAAAAGATTTGAAAAAAAAACATGATGATGCTAATAATCGTAGTTCTACAGCAGAAAATATTTTTAGTACAAAATTAAGAATAACAAATGAAGATGCCCAAAATAAATTAGAATATGATATTAAACAACGGTAATCGAAATTACTATTTTATTCATATTTTAAATAAATTTTTAATTTATTATTTTATTTAACATTTTTTGTTTAGACTTACTACAATTGAAATACGTCGACAAAAACTATTGGATTTTGCTAATGATATTTCACATCGTGTTCAAGATATTCGTACAAAAACAAATGAATGGAAAACAAATTTAACTAGTTGGATTATATCCGATTCAGATTTATCATTGGAGGCGGCCAATCAACTTCGAAATCGTGCATCACAAATTACACAAGATGTAAGTGTACCGTCAACATTTTAAAAAAAAAAGCTTTTTTTTCTTTTTCGCGTTCTACTATAGTTAAAAGATTTGGAGTTTGATATTCTCAATTTTTCAAATAAAACATTTAAATTACAAGAAACAACGAGAAATTTTGAATATGAAGTAAATCAATTTCAAGTAATGGTCAATGATATTAGTCGAGTATGTAGAAATGAATTAAATATGTTATTAGTAATAAAAATAAAAGAAAATTTTATTAATATGTCATAGGATACACAAGATTTATTTGCCGAAGTGAATCAAGCTGAATATGAAGCAAACAGAGCAGTAGATAATTCAAAAAACATTGAAAATGAAGTGAGAAAAATTAGAGAAGATCTTCAAGGTAAATTATTGTTGTTTTATTTGTCTTATACTAATAATTTTAATAATAAGCCATATTTTCCAATAGGATTTGTTCAAGATAAAAATTCTCAAAGTAAAAATGCTGAAACACAATATAATCGTTTACAATCAATACAAGATCAAATTCAAAATATAACTGGAAAATATTGGGAATTAAATGATGAACATCGAACATTAAATATTACCGTAGCTAATGCACTACGTGAACTTGAAAATGTCAAAGCATTATATACAACATTGGTATTGTGTATTTATTAATATTAAAATTGATTTCTATAAATAAAATTATATTTTATTTTCTTCTATGTTAGAATATTCGTGAACAATCGGACATAATTAACCAAGCTGAAATAAAATTTACACCAATTAGTAAAGAAATGGAAACATTAACAGATCATTCATCAACCGTATTAAATAGTTTTAAAAATATTAAAGATCAAGCTGATATTCATGTTAAACGAATTGAAATAGCATCAGCCATTGGAAAAAATCTAACAAATGATATTAATTCAGCAAGAGATCAAGTAGAAAAGTTAATGGAACAATTGAAATCATTGCAATCATCACTAAGTAAAAAAGAAAAAAAAAAAAAGAAGAAAAACATTAAAAAAATTGTGTTTTTTTTCATATTTTCTTTTACATTTCTAGATTATTCAACTCAAATTAATATTACAAGTTTAGATAATGCTGAAATTGAATTTCAACAATTAAATTTAGATAAAATATTTAATGGAATTGAACAATTTTATATGGGTGCTATTTTTGTTAAAAATCAAACGGATAAATTAATTATTGAATATGATAATCTAAATAGATATGTTAATAATATAGATGAGATAGCACGTAATTTACCGACAGGATGTTTTAAAAATATACCCATTGAGCATAATCCATTATCGAGACAAACTTAGTCGCTATTTCAAATATTACAGTTATGCATTATTGCCAGATATAAATTGATAGTTTGTAGAATAAGCATTTTGTTCTTTTTTTACATGTTTTTGTTGTTCATTTGTTTTTGTGTTTTCTTTCTTTGTTGTAAAAATAGTTTTCAGACATCGTCTATAAAATTTATACAGATCATTTTCTTATTAACTTCTTCTTTTTTTTTCTTCAAAAGTTTCTTTCTGCATCTTGCACTAGAACAGTGAATTATCCTATGCACTATTCAATATTTTTGTACAATTAGATGTAGTATAACTTTTTAAAAAGTATTTAAATGAGATAAAAAGTATGGAGTGTTATTCATCAATGAAGTCTTCTTTAAAACGAATGCAGATTTTATTGTGTGAATACTAGTTTTCTAACATTCTGACATATTTGTTTTTTTGTAATCGGTCAATTGGTACAAATAGAATTGTAGTACACAAATCTGTTTGAAATTAAATGGTTAATATACTCATTTTTTTTAAAAATTTTAAAGACGTTTTTTTCTCAACATTTTATCGCATCTTGTATCATCAGTATTATAATTGTGAAGAAAACAAATTTCTATTTTTTATGTGAAATAAGACTAATGATATTAGCTGTGATCTGTTTTAGAAAGAGTCTGTATCGTTCATGCAGACTTAAAGTGTCGGAAATTCGAAAATTCAGCAGGAGCAAGTTTTTATTTTTGCATTTTTTATACATGGTTGGACAGAGTGCGTCGAGCTGATTTAGAAAATGTGTGTTTTGATGTTTGAAAAAATTATTTTTATGCTAAAAATGGAAAATATTTGAAGAGTCTAAATTTTTGAAAAAAGCTTTTTCCTTTTTCGCTCTTCTAACATTAAGAAAGTATCATTTTCACAATCAGCATTAAAAACTAAGTATGAATCTGATGTTTGATCGAGATTGAGGTCAAACGTCTATCCAATATGGACATCTTGAACTCGCTTTGTAAAAAGTTTATAAACAATTTTGGAAATCTATCCAGTTTTGTGTTTGAAAAGATGAAGCCGAGCTTCTTACTTCATTAGAACCGCCATTGAACGCACTTTAAAAGTATAAACCGCTGTTTTTTATTTCGCTTCGTCACTGAGAAAGTTCACTTTTCCTACATCAGGAGCGAAAAAATCGGAATTTTGTCTGTAATTTTCAATTATCTCCATGAGAACTCAACTTTTATCCAATATAAATATCATATTCGGAATCAGCGTCACAAAACTGAGTCGAATGGATTGGATAGATCAAAATTTTCCGTTAATTTTCATTTGTGGTGAAAATGTCAGCGATTTTTCGACGTAAAAATTCAAAACAACTTAAAATGGTCGGATCGGATAGGAAAAAAACTAAATGCCTTTGAAATTAAAATATCATCGAAATAAATGACAATATATTCCACGCCTGTTCTTGAACAAATTCTGCATGACACGCTGAAATGTTGACGGATTGTTTGTTACTCCTTAATTTTAAGAGTGTCTAGACCGTTAAGATGAATTTAAACTTTTGAAATCCAATATCAAGATGAAAATAAACGAAATCAGCTAAGGTCATACTAGATCCTTGCGCTGTTAGTCTCACACCAGTTTCTATCCAGAGTAAACTCAGCACTTAGCGATCTGACAACTAACACATTAGCAGTCGTAATAACATCATTATCTTCATGTGTAGTCTCTCGTTAATCAAAACATTTAGCAATGTACTACCATCACCTAGTTGATTAGTAACTTTTGTGAAATTAATCGAGTTCAACATGTTTTTTCAAGAGTATTTAAAAAAGTAAAAGGGATTGATGACCGTTTAAGATTATTAAATTAGTAAACTAGTCAGTGCGTCTTAACTTCATCGAAATACAAAAACGACCAAGTGTGAACATGATTCAATGCATAGTGTGGCAACCACAACAATACATCTGACACTAGCCAAAATGTTAAATCAGGCTCTGAAATGGTGTGGTTCATTGAACGAAGACGTTCATTATGGATTGGTTGAGAAATATGAAGGAAATATTCGAAATCAAGAGATTTGGTTCTACATGAACCCTCCAATTGAGAGCAGAATAGATTTTGGAGTTGTCTTATTATATGTCAGATCAGATCACAGTTTTTTGTCTTTCTCTGTTTACAGTGCGCTAGTCTTAAGAATTACGTACACACTCTAAGCTAAAAGGGCGCCGTAAAGCTCGTTTAGAAACGAACTTGAAAAATTGTTCAAAAAAGTTTGCCACCACGATCCAGTTCAATTTTTCGATGTTGGCGTCACGGAGAAGCGCAAAACAAAATGGTTCACACGATTTGTATTAACTATACTTCAGGATGTCGAAAAAATGCTATAAGATTGATCACACTCACTCTAAAGAGTTTTGTGGCGTATAGTGCCCATAGGATCTTTTATTCCTATTTATTGCATTATAATGCGTTAGGTATATCGTAATATCTTGTAATCTGTTAGATGAGCTCGTATATCGAATGATATATGGTGTAGATGGATATTTATACATGATGAATGTTACTCGAAACGACTCAGAGTTATTGATTTTTCAACGGATTGTGATGGAAAGTATCTTAGATCAATGAGACTTGTTAGTGGTTTTTTCGCCAGTTCATCTGATATTAAAATTACACCCAAACCAGGTGTTTTTTCTATTTTCCCAAAAATTGGATTATTTACTTGAAAAGCAATTATTACTATTTTTTCAGGATCCAATTCATCGTTGTACCAAACTACGAAACAGAATGTTATCGAAAAAATGTGATTTGATGGTGGGTAGTCAAACTTGTATGTAGAAAATGTATGATAACATTTATAATGTTACGACGCTATAAATTCGAGTTACGCGTTAATATTTATATACCGTTAAAAGGCGTTACTAAATTTCTATCGCATTATAACGCATTAATCTGTAATGCGTTGTAACATGTTATGCTAACTCATTTTTCTTTTGTATAATTACTGAGAAATATGAAAAAAATATGAAATGATATTTTAGCAGATGGTTGAAGATCACTATAAACTGTACTACAGATATATCATCCGTAATTTTTCGGTTATACATACTATCAAAGAGCCGTAATAGCAAAAACAATTTCACTCTCTCTTGAAAAACATCTTTATATTTGCATGCAGAAAATTTCACTCCCCCTTTGAAAACATCTCCCCATTTTAAGAAAGTTCTTTCATAAATTTCACTCTCCCTTGGAATAGTATCCTCGTTTCTTTTTCTACTCGTCTGTCTCTTTCTACTGTGCTTATTCAGAAAATGTATATAAGATGCGTTTATTCTAATAGCAGTCACCATTTTACGAGCATTTACTGATGAAGATAATTCGAAACGCGTTTAAATTTATACATCAAAACAGTTGTCCGCATATATATCCAATAATTTACGACCATCAAGCAATGTAACTGATAATACAATAATTGATGACGATGTTGACAATGAATCAGATACAAGTAGTAATAGTGGAATCGAAGACAATGATTATTATGGTGAGGATGATGAAAGTGAAAATATTTCGGAAGGTGAAGATGATGACAAAATATCACTGAATCATTTTGCGCAATCCAGGTTTTTTTTTGAATTCTTCTCCTGAATAAATCCAAAAACAAAGTGCATAAAAGTGTATGCACCATAGGTGCACAGTATATAGAGGAACATTTCAATAACTATCGGGTTATACCAGGGTAGAGGGAAATGAGGAAGTTCATTGCACTGATCACATGTCTACGGAAGAATTAGTTAGCGTGGAACTAATTTGTATCTGTGGAAGTCTAAGTTGAAATTGATAAATTTTTTCACGAATATATATCTTAGAGAATTTAAATTCATATTCCGTTCCTATTTATAATTCGACTGGATTCGGTATATGCTACGTTTTGACTAAGCATTTTCGGATGATCGTTAACAGCTTGAGGAAAAATTCTTTCATCAATAGATAGTCCATATATCCAGGTATACGTTTCTCTACGAAGATTGAAAATTGACCACTTGGACTTTTTGGCTAACTGTCCGTCTGAATGCTCGCTTTGTTTGATCAGTGCGGTAATTTCGCATCAGAAACCAGTGTGTCGAAAGCCGTAAAATCGATGTTGCACCGTTGGCTCGGTACTGTCATACAAAATATTTTTACAGTGAAAGTCGGCAATATTATCCATACTCGGTGTCATCCATGGAAGACTAACACATCTAGTCTATTATAGAATCCAGAATTTTAAACAGTTGTGCCCTAATTTTATTCTTGAACGAACGACAATTGTTTGAATTATCATCGTTACCATCCAAATCCAACTGCTTGTAAATGTTTTAATAACTTTACTGATGAAGGGCGCTATTGTTGTTATCGATGCAATTATATTGAATATTTCATTAGAGACTGTCATCGGTATGAGACATGCGATGAAAATTCATCGTTAATATATATTAGCATATTAACAGGGTGTGCATAAGTTTTACGACAAACGTTTGCTACTGTTTTTCCATGTTCCCAATATTCTAGAGACTTGATTTTTTTTGTTCGTAAGAGCAGAGTCTGAACTACACGCTGTGCATCAAACAATTTTTTCTCTCATAAAACTTGATTGAGATAAAATTTAAACACCAAATATCACTTAAAAAAAGTTTTGGTAAAATTTTACTAAAACACACCATAAAAATCCTTTCAATGTTGGCAAAAATAATCACTTCTTCCTGGAACCAAATACGTGAAAAAATAGCCCATTAAAAACTCTGTTGGTTTCACTTTGTTAAAAGATTTTTATGGTTCTTTTTAATGACTTTTGGAAAAACGTTCTAAAAGTCAGTTTTCTAAAAGCCGATATTTCGCCCTACTGAGCGCTTTCAGCAAATGGGGCACTAGAGACACTAGAGTAGAGACTAACTGAAATTAAATTTTATCTTTACATAAATTTGTACAAAATTAAATGGAGATTCAAAATTCACTTCAAACTTTGAAAAAGTTTATCTATTACTTCCAAAATTAGTAACTAA